AATTTTGAAGTGCAGGCGAGGGCTCAACATTTGAAGAGTAAAGAGCCGTGCCCACTCCGCGCAGCTGCTGTGAGTGTGTGTGTGTGTGCGTGCGTGTGAAGAGTGTGCGCGGCGCTGAAACGAGGACTACAGTTTGACGATTGCCCGCCCTCCACCAGTGTAATTGATGAGAGCGGTTGGGAAGATTCTGCCCGCTGCCTAGGGCGATAACCACATGTTAAAGACTGCCCGCCCTCAGTCCGAGCAGGTGTTCGAAGCTCTCAGGAAGCGTGTGCATGACGCTGAAACGATAGCCACTTTGAGTAAACAGCCCGCCTTCCAGCCTTGGAACCCTCAAGCTTCCATGCCACACATGGTGTGACGTCTCTGGTGACAGGCCCGGCCCGCCCTGCCAGCACGCCTGTCCGGTGATCCAGCGAGGATGAATGGTGAATGGTGGAGGAGAGGGATGAGGAGCGGGAGGAGGCAGGGAGGAGGTGGCGAGGACGAGCGGCGAGCAGGACCCAGAGGGAGGAGGGGGAGAGGCGCCGGGGCAGCAGAGGAAAGGAGGCGCTGCAGAGCCGCCCCCCTGGGCGATCGGCTCGCACCCAGACTGCTCGTCATCGTGTGGGTCCCAGCTCCGCGCGAGCACCTCTCGGTGATCGGATGGGGTCGGGCTGGGCGATCGGGGGGCGCCAGCTGTTCACCACTGCCGGCCCCGGTGAGGCCAGTCCCGGGCACAGGGCTTGTGCCCACGCCTCCCTGGCAGAGGCAGGGGCCGGGAGGAGTGCAGCCAGCGATCTTGGGCCCAGGATGGGCCTGGCGGGGAATGGTGCAACTGGATTGCTGGCGCCCCTCCCAGAAGGGAGCAGGAGGAGGAGCAGGAGCAGGAAGGGGAGGAGCCCGAGGCCCAGACTCCGACACGCCGCATCCGTCGCGCCCAGAGAGAAGGCCGCGATCGTCGAGGAGACACACCGGCCTGTCTCTCTCAGAGCAGCAGGAGGGTGATGGTGTTGGTGAAATGGATGAGGTGAAGCAGGAGGCGTCGGTGAATTATACAGTTTTCAGACATTCATACCTACATACAACCATACATACCTATATACGTATTCATATACAGAAGTATTTGTATAAACAAATATATCTTCTTGCTTGTGGAATAACAGAGTGGGCCTGGCAGCCGGTCTGGCGGCTTTGTGGTTGCCGTCGCCGCCCGTCTTCTGGGCCTGGACGTCGGTCTGCTAGCTCTGTTGCCGCCGTCGCCGCTCCGTCGCCGCCTCGTCGCCGCCCGCTGTCTCGGGCAACATAGATCGCACCACTTAATTGCACAACGTAGATTGCGCAACATCGATCGCAAAACGTAGGTTGCCTCTCATATATATATATATATATATATATGTACTACACCGCGCGATTCACACCTTCTAGATTGTACCACATGACGCTGCCACCTATACTGCACCACATAGCTTGCACGCCATAGGTCGCGCAACAGCGATTGCACAACATCGATCGCGCCACATCGATTGCACCGCACAGATTGCTCAGCGTATGTTGCAACACATACGTGCGCCACATAAGTTGCACCACCCATACTTCACCACGTCGGCAGCACCAGGTAAACCACACAATATAGATTCGTAAGATGCATTGCGCAGCATGGATGGCAGCACATATACTTGACGCATACTTTGCCCCACGTAATTTAGTATTGAGCATAGCTCCGCAGCATGTATTTCACCATACCAGGTGCACCGCATATATTACACGACCTCATATTTCATATCATAGTCCACATAGCATGTACTTCAGCATGTCTGCTTTTTTTCACCCAAACAAAACATGTGGAACTACCACCGTCCCTCTCCCAAAACATGTTGCCCCCCCTCTCCCAGGGGCCCTGTAGGTCATAGGTGATGCTGCCACATCGTTGATGTTATATCTGAGATCGTCACCCATTACATCCTAGCCACACCTCGTTATCCATTTCACCTTCGGCAAAGAAGAGTATGCAGACACACGAGCAGTTACCACGGAGTCCTTGCAACATAATGTTGCAATGTCCACACGAAAGCCGTCGTGCGCGCATGCCAACATCAGTCAAGCACCGTAGGTTCCGCACAGCTTTCAACACCGAATGTTTCGAACACAGTAAAGACAATCGTTGTGCAACGTGCTGTTTCAAGAAAGTCGTCGCGCGCGCCCTTGCGAACTCTTAAGACATGTTTTCCGAGATGTCCATCCGCCGCGACCAAGCGGGTCTCGCACATGTGCGTGCCGAAATCATTCGAACGCCCCTGCGCGCGCGTTGTGTGTGAAGGGGGGGGGCACGGCCCTTGTCCAATAACACCGTGCGGGGCACTCGCGCGCTTCGGCCGCGCACGCATGACCAAAATCTTCCACCACCTTCATCACCGACATATGGGTACCCATGTTATCGTTATCGGCGTGATCAGCATCGGCGCCGCCTTTGGCCTTGCCGTAGTCATTGGAATCATCGTTACCAGCGTCGTTACTATCATGAGTATGTATGCCGTTGCCGGCGTAGCCATGATTCAGCGCCTGCCCGCGCCAAGTGCCCGCGCGCCAGCGCAGCCTGGGAGACGCGTTGGGAAGTGCCCAGCGGTCAAGCGCCACCTCGGCGAATCGGTCGTGCCAGACTAGATGGCCGCTCTACGCGCGAGCATGCGCGCGCTAGCTCGGACGCAGCTTTGTGCAAGCCAGCGGCAAACAGTCGTCGCAATCGCTGGCTCATGGGTTTCTCAAACCAAGTTGCGGGTGGGTGGGTGGGATGGTTGCGCGAGTAATGGGGTGCACCAGTATAATTGCGGCAGGGTGAATTGTACCGCGTAGGCTGCATCCCATCTATTGCATCACGTCGCTTGCACCTCGTATATTGCGAAGGCCTGACGGCCGGTGCCGCCGACCCTGTTCGCAATGCGCAGCAAGAGGCACGGGCTGTGGGATGGTTTTGGGGAACGGGGAGAAGGACGAGAAGGTGGGGGAGGGAGGTGTCGTATCTGACCCGGGACTTCCCCGGGACTCCCCCGGGACCCCCCCCGGGACCCCCTCTCCCTCCCCCGGCGGGGAAGGGAAAGGGAAGGGGCTTCCCTTCGACTCAATTACGACGTTGCTCAAGGTCGGTACGGGGGGGGGGCGTCGTATCTGACCTGGGGGGGGGTCGCTACCGCCCCCCGCTACCCCCCCCTCGCCTCCCGGCGGGGGAGGGATCAAAGGGAAGGGGCTTCCCTTCGACTCAATTACGAGGTTGCTCAAGGTCGGCTTGGCTGGAGCCCAGGGGAAGAGGAGTCCCAGGGGGGGGCGTCGTATCTGACCCGGGGGGGGGGTCGCACCCCCCCCCCCTCCCGGCGGGGGAGGGATCAAAGGGAAGGGGCTTCCCTTCGACTCAATTACGAGGTTGCTCAAGGTCGGCTTGGCTGGAGCCCAGGGGAAGAGGAGTCCCAGGGGGGGGCGTCGTATCTGACCCGGGGGGGGGGTCGCTACCCCCCCCCCCCTCCCGGCGGGGGAGGGATCAAAGGGAAGGGGCTTCCCTTCGACTCAATTACGAGGTTGCTCAAGGTCGGCTTGGCTGGAGCCCAGGGGAAGAGGAGTCCCAGGGGGGGGCGTCGTATCTGACCCGGGGGGGGGGTCGCTACCCCCCCCCCCTCCCGGCGGGGGAGGGATCAAAGGGAAGGGGCTTCCCTTCGACTCAATTACGAGGTTGCTCAAGGTCGGCTTGGCTGGAGCCCAGGGGAAGAGGAGTCCCAGGGGGGGGCGTCGTATCTGACCCGGGGGGGGGGTCGCTACCCCCCCCCCCCTCCCGGCGGGGGAGGGATCAAAGGGAAGGGGCTTCCCTTCGACTCAATTACGAGGTTGCTCAAGGTCGGCTTGGCTGGAGCCCAGGGGACGAGGAGTCCCAGGGAAAGGGAAGGACAGAGACGACGAGTACAAAGAATGACGGAGATGACGGCTCGAACGGAAAAGCCCCTCACACACGCCGACAGGGTCGGCGGATTCCCCTACGTCGGTTGCACAACACAGATTGCTAGAACCATTCTGTCGTGGGCCTACGTTGGCTATCATATGTAGATCCACACCGTTACATAAACATTGGGATGCAAATTTATGTAGAAAGAAACTATAGAGGGAGAGAGAAACAAACACAGAGGGACAGTTGGTTGGAGGAAGAAAGAGAGACATAACGATAACAATACATAAACAGGAATGGATAATGTGCGTGCGTGACAGAGAAAATAAAGAGAACGTGCGGTAGAGACAGCATAGCACAAGCAAACACGGCGGTATTGTGTTTGTTCATGCGGTCGGGTTTGCGGAGTTTTGTGTCAGACCCTGGCTAGGGTCCGATGGATTCCGAGGGGCATAGATTGCATCGAAAGTTCGAGGGTCCGCGGTCTGGACGTTCGTCCCCAAGCCTCCCTCGTGTCCTCTGCCTCGTCCTCCCTATCATCGTCACTGCTTTCCCTCGCGCGCTCTTCGCAAGTCGTTACCGGAAGTTTCTCATGGCACAGATGCTGAATCACGTGTCCATGATGGCAGCGGGTCGCAGCAACGAGGGTGCCGCTGTCGGGTTTGAATTGCACCCACACAAGATCAATATCCTTCGCAACGCGCACTCGAATTATCAGGGGCCGCTTGCTCCTACAAGTTGCACCCCCAATGGTATGGCGGTTCGCACATCAAATCCTTGTGTCGCGAATCGTTGTGTAGTGAGCCGACGGGCGTTTCGGTCGAGGCCACTTGCATGCGCGTGGCGCATTTCCTGTAATGAGAGGCGATCTCATTGAGCAATGATATCAGTCCATAACTGCTTACGGAATGAGAACGCCCAAGGCCAAGTTGAGTGAGTGCACCCACAAGGCCTCTTGCATGAGAAGCACGCGCAACCTTCAGGAATTGTTCAGTTGAGCTAAACGCACGCACATCCAGATGTCGCGCAGTATTTTGCATTTGCCCAGGCTTGTTTCGGGACATTGTGAAGGACGTGAGGAGCCAATTTGCCCATTTGAGCACAGGGCAAATCCGGGTATCGGATATAGCACCGTTAGCGGAATGGGCTTGGCCCTCACGAAAAGAAGGGCGCACGAGGCAGAGAACTAGAACGCAGGGGCGAACAATAATGGCGCCAGGCATGAAGATGGGTCCAGCATGTGACGCACAAGTCGCTTTCTTTGGAATGAGCGGGCAAGGTATTTGTGCGGCGCGCGTCGGGGCATCCAAAGTTGATGCTTCACCAGCGACGAAGCAGACCTAATCGAGAACGGTTGGACGGCATATCGAGTTTCATTTTTGCTAGTTGATACGTTCCAGCACAGAGCAAAGACAGGATCAACGACAGCCCACTGAGTTGAAGACGCAGCCCATTTTCTGATGCAGCGAACCTGCGCCGAGGTGATTGACATGATAACGAGGAAGAGAAAGGGCGGAGCAGGACGAGAAGAGGACTGACGATGCTAGGAAACGTAACATGAGGAACCAAGCCAGGCACACGTTGCCGGGCGAGGGAAGAAAGAAATTCGACTGGACGATGACATGAGGGGCAAGCACAAGGAAAGGAACGAGGAGAAAGGAGCAGGGATAGGCTGTAAAGCAGGACCAGGTGGAGGAGGGAGAGACCCCCTCCCGCTCCCAGCCTCCTGCACGTCGGTATCTCGACGAGCGGCGCACCCTTTGGCGCCGACGCCCGTGCCACGAGCCTGCAGAGGGGGAGCCTCAGCGGGCCTGGGCCCGAGCTGGCCCTGCTGGCCTGCATGCTCCGCGTGCCTCGGACGGTTCGATCTTGCCGAAAAATAAAGAAAGGAGGATGATCAGGAGATCGCAAACGGGGATCAAGGGGGCGTGGATTAGCGACGGGTCCCGCTTCCACGGGAAATCGCGGATTTCCGCCGCCGAGCGAGGCGGCACCAGCCGCACTCTGGGGAGGGCACCTCCCCCGATCCATGGATTTGGCGACCGCGCGCCTAATCCATGGATCGCTAATCCATGTTTGCGCGCCCCCGACACGTGCCTGAGACGCTTCGGTCTTGCCGAGTTTCCAGGAGGATGAGCAGACACCGGTACCGCCCAATATTGAGCCCATCGAAAAGGAAGTCGGCCTGCTTGCAGGTGCCGCACGGAAGTGCCTGATCCCCCCCGGTGGCCCCAGGGACGACAGAAGGTCTGGGACACCTGAGGACCTTCAAGGATCGGCCAAGAGTGTGCCCCAACATTCCTCCTGGCAATGTTTCTTGTTGTCTGCGTCTACTGTACTCTTCTCTCGTCGCCACGGCTGGGTTCGCCTCGAAGACCTGGGCAGAACGCACCCCGCCACAGGTCATTGGAGTAGCGGTATCGATCTGTTATTGTTCCCCCAGGGTCTTTGGCGCCTTGACCTTTCTGCCCCTTCCCGAGGGGCAGGCTGTTCACCCTGACCCGTTTTTTCGGCGCCGAGCCAGGGGGGGGGAAGGAAGAGGGGCCAGGTCTTCTGAGAAGGCGGCGGGGCTCCTCAGAGACCCCCGCGCCTTCCCAGAGGTGTCCTGCGTCTTCGGGGAAGGCTCGGGGGACATCCCGAAAGGCGTGACTGAGAAGGCGGCGGGGCTTCTCAGAGACCCACGCGCCTTCCGAGAGGTTTCCTGCGTGTTCGGGGAAGGCTCAGGGGACATCTCGAAGGGCGCGAGGGCTGCTGAGAAGCTCCGCCGCCTGCTGAGACGGTCTGCCCCTCCTCCCTTCGCCTTAAGCCTGGCATCGCTCGGACGTGTGCATTTTTCCTTCGTCGATGACCATCGAGGAGCATCCTCGATCATTTGGCGAAAAAAAAACACGCACGAAACCAATAAAAAAACACAGGGAATGGACGTCCGAGCGATGGCGAGTAAGTCGGGCGTGTCCCTCTACAGGAGGAAGATGCAAACATAGTTGTTGCAAAATAGCCTGGGAACGATGCTTCGACTCATTTCTCGTTTTTTTGCGTATTATTTGCCAAGGTTCCCTCTTCGCCCCAAATCAGCTTGTAAGGGGACATGCCCGACCCAACCTTTCGCCGTGGGCGCGCCGCCGATTCTTGCTCCGTGGCCCCGGGGCCGGCCGACCCTCCCGGCTCTCAGTTGACGGGTCCGCGGGGCTGCCAGGCTGCCCCCCCACCCTGGCAGGCCCGAAACAGGGAATCTTCGAGGCTCGTTTTGGGGACCTTCCTGGGGCCCACCTGATGGATCTGTTCGACTCAGGTTCGACTCAAGTTCGACTCAGGTTCGACACATATTCGACTCATATTCGACTCAGGTTCGACTCAGGTTCGACCCAGGCTCTACTCAGGTTCGACGCAGCTTCGACGCACGAGTGGAGCGAGTGGCTCCAGGAAGGTCCCCAGAATGAGCATCTAAGGGAATCGGAGGACGGCGACCAGGAGCCGCTGCGCCAGAGATGGCCATTTTTGGCGGCGTCCTCTCGCGAGGGGGGAAGCCGCCTCTCCCGCGGCGTGCAGCTCGGCCTCGACGTCCTCACCATGTCGTGCCAGGTGGCGGCGAG